GTGATTACAAAGGCCTAATGATATTTTGCACTAACATTAGACTGAAATATATTCTTCATTTCAACATTAATTTTACCAAAATTGTGGTGAATTGTCGTTCATGAGACTCACTTCGCAGAAAAAATTCATAAATGTTCCGTATATACTCAAATGTTCGTCCTCGGCACCTTATGCCAACATTGTCAAAATGACAGATTAATGTTACATAAGAACATGAAATTTTATAAAATTCGTAAATTTTGAATTGCTATAACTTTTCATTTTCTTGGTCAATTTTCACAAATCAAATTGCAGTTTATAGAAGCATTTAACAAGCTTGCGGTAAAAAAAAAATCAAACGTAACAGACATTGCGAAGTACCCAAAATTAATAAAATAAAAACTAACACCATAAAACGAATGGCACGCATAGACTAATAATTGACGGCTGTACTCGCAACTAGTATCGGATTGTCAATGCCACAGTAAAGATCAAAGGACTGTACGCACGCGCTATGTTCGAGAGCGGAGATGTGCGTCCTTTTGTTGAATTACCTTGATCCAGAGATGTCCAAATGGGGGCTGAAAATGGGGCCGAGGGGGTTCGGGGCATGCCCCCGCAAAATTTTTGTTTTCTAGACACCAAATAATAACATTTGAGGTGTTTTGGGCAATCAATTCTTTCTTTTTATTTTTTTCTTTCTTCTTTATTATTCCTTTTAGTTTCCTAAAGGGGGCTGGGACCGAAAATAACAATGCCAAAGTGCGAGCCAGCGTGTTTTTTGATCACAAGTGCGAGACATCGCAAGTGTGAGCCAGCGAGCCATGACGTCACGACAATAGATAGAGACGTTAACGAGTTGTGTGAGGTATCGGCTGAGATTTGTGGAGTACAATTCAAAAAACAACTATAGGTCTAATAATGAATTATTGTGATGTTAAATAGACAATGTTAGCTATCAAAGAGCGACGTTGTTTTTCATTGGGACCTTCGTCCCTTCAAGGCTAGGCCTATACCATTCTAGCTAGTCTAGGCCTAGAGAGCGCGAACATGCGGACATTGGTACGAGTAGGTTAGTCTACAAATGTCGCCTAAAGTAATTGATTTTACCCGGCAGAACGAAAGAAGGAAACCCCGCTTTTCAGTCGTCTTAGGCACTTTTTTTTTTACAACCAATGACCTTTCAGAGGTCAAATTGCTGTCAAGAATATGAATTGGCTGCTTCGCAGCAATAATATTAAGTATTGGCAAGGTAGGGGTGTGTGTATCTGTGTTTATTTTTAGGGAATAGTGACAGGTGGGAAATAAATCAGGGCCAGCGGAACGTTTTTCCAAGTGTGGGGGGGGGGGCCCACCTATAAGATGAATTGGAATATGACTCATGCAGATCTGGAATCAAATCTAGGTGGTGGGGTCAACATTCCTCCCCCGGGAAAATTTTGATTTCTAGATGGCGGTAAATGACCTTTCTTGACTTTTGAGCTAGGTGTCTAATGACTTTGTTCTTCAAAATTTAAGGTTTTCCCACTCTTGAAAACGGTAAGGTAAACTTTCTCATTACAGTAAATAGGCCTGTTATGTGTGTATACATACATTTTATAAAAATGAGTAGTTGCATACGTATTCTTTTTTCAATGAATCGATAAGCTCCAAAGAAAAGGGGAGTCCGGGGGTTCTCCCATGAGAAAATTTTGATTCCTAGGTGGCGGAAAATTAACTTTTCCCCCGACTCCTGAGGTGTCTTAATTACTTCAAAATTCAAGGTTTTCCCCTCTTGAAAATTATGATAATGAATCAATGAACCCAAAGAGAAAAGGGAGGTTCAGGTTCTTCCCGGGAAAATTTTGATTTCTAAAGGGTGGGAAATGAGCTTTCCCGACTTCTGAAATATCTTTTAGCGACTTTAATTTAAGTTCTTCAAAATTCAAGGTTTTCCCCTCTTGAAAACGGTCAGATAAATTGTTCCCATTGTTTTTACAGTAGATAGGCCTTATGTGTGTACATACAAAAAAAAATTGAGTAGGTGCATACGATTTTTTTTCCATGAATTGATAAATCCCAAAAAGAAAGGGGGCTCTGGGGGTTCTCCCCCATGAAAATTTTGATTCCTAGAAGGTGGGAAATGAGCTTTCCCGACTTCTGAGGTGTCTTTTAATTACTTTTAAGTTCTAAGGTTTTTCCCTCTTGAAAACGGTCAGGTAATTTATTACAATTGTTATTAAAGTAAATAGGCCTTATGAGTGTATACATACATAAAAATATGTAAAGTATGTATTGAAAACGGTCAGATAATTTTTTCCCATTGTTGTTACAGTAAATAGGTCTTATGTGTGTATACAAACATATAAAAAGATTGAGTAAGTTGCATACATATTTTTTTCCATGAATCGATAAATCCCAAAAAGAAAAGGGTGGGGGGGTCCAGTGGTTCTTCCACGGGAAAATTTTTCATTCCTAGGTGGCGGGAAATGAGCTTTCCTGACTTCTGAGGTGTCTTTTAATGACTTTAATTTCTTCAAAATTCAAGGTGCCCCCCCCCCCTCTTGAAAATGATTCAATTAATCTATGAACTCCAAAGAAAAAGGTCCGTGTTCCCCTGGGAAAATTTCAATTTCTAGATGGCGGGAAATGAGCTTTCCTGACTTCTGAAATGTATTTTAATGACTTTTAAAGTTCTTCAAAATTCAAGGTTTTCCTCTCTTGAAAACAGTCAGGTAAATTTTTCTCATTTTTTATTTTATGTGTGTATACATACATAAACAAATGAGTAGTTGCATACGTATTCTTTTTGCCATGAATCGATAAATCCCAAAAAGAAAGGGTGGTCCGGGGGTTATCCCACTTGAAAATTTTGATTCCTAGATGGCAGGAAATGAGCTTTCCCGATATTTGAAGTCTGTTTTAATGATTTTTATGTTGTTCAAAATTCTAATTTTCTTATTGTAACAAAAAAAAAAATCAGCTCACGGGTCCTGAAAAGGTAGGTGTAGAATTCTTTTTCTTTTCCCCTTTTTTTTGTTGCCCATGACCCTCTCCCCCAGATCCGCCAATGTGAATTGCGAGAAAATGTAACTCGGTCGGGTAGTGGATAAAGATTCTCTTTCCCATCCTTCTCCTCCTTCTTCCCTCCTTTTCTTGCATATTCGATGATACAAAAATCTCCAGACATTATATATTTTTCGCCAAATAGTGGGGGGGGGGGCAGGGCTTCCCCCGGCCATGTAAATTAGGAAATGCTACTTACGATCAAAGCGAATTTCTGTTGAAGATGTTGGCTCTAAAATCGTGGATTCTAAAAAAAATTAATTTGAAAAAATTAACCTGAATATTCAGAGATTATCAAATTAGATATTACATGTATCAATTTTAACAAAATTTTTCAATTTGATTTATCATAAATAATTGAATTAGTGTCATTAGTTTTTAAAAATTTTTTGAGGAAAGGTGCTTTTATTTGAGAGATGCATGTTACAACTAATTGAAATGGTGTTTACCATGTCACCCTATCTATTTATTCCATGAAGAAATTGTTTTATAGCATCCCATAATAATGCCTATAAAGGCACATTAGGTAATACCTGTATGTTCTCTCAATTAAGTGCTGAAATACTCATTTAAAATAGAATGTATTTCTAATATTAGAGCTACAGTATCATTTGAGATTGGTGCAACACTTACAACAGAAACATATTTGCTTATAATTATTTAAGGTAATTATTCTTTATATTTCATGTAGACAATTGATGAGTGGATGTCAAAAGAGTTAAGTAAGGCTGCATTTTTGTAACATATCATTTGCTATAATAAAATATAAAAAAAAAAAACACACAATAAAATGGAAATAAAATAGTGAAGAAATAGCAAACACACCATATGCCGATGACACTGTAGTACTGGTAGCATCTAAAATAAATTAACATCTGCTGTAATAATACATGTAAAAATTCTAAAATGTTATCAAATAGCAATAAAACTCCAATTGCTTGGTGAATATTTTTATTCAAATTTATGGATTTAATTGTTCAGTTCTGTAGAGTGAAACGGTATGATACTCCCCCTGGGTGGGATGCTAGTCCACTGCAGGTTACAATTTTCTGGTACCCATTGATACAGCTCGGTAAACTGAAGCAAAGTAGATAAAATGCCTTGCTCACAAACACAAGCAAAACGCACAGTGAAGGATTGAAATCTCGACCTCGATGTAGAGAAACCAAACCATTCCTACTGTGCCAAGCTGCTTCCACCTTGCTTACACAGGCTAATCATTTATTTATTTCAACAATCTTTAATGAGGGTGGTCCATTCAGCCGAAGCTGATCATTAGGGACCCTCAATACACATAGTAAAACAAAACAAAAAGAGTATGAAACCAATTAATTTGACAGTAATATAAATAACAACCTTTCAATTCTAAATTTACATAATGAATTAATTCAAAATTATATAAAAAACTTAATATAAAAATTAAAATTAAATTACAATTAAAGATGTAAATGAATTGAGCATGATTAAAAAACAATAAAAGAAGGCTAAAGAGACATAAAATCAACAAAGAAAAAAAAAAGTTGAGAATAAAGAAGCCCAAAACAAATAATCAAATAAAGTAAAAATAGATAATAGGCCTATGCATATGAGAACTATAAATCAAATCATTCATAATTTAAAGAAAATAAATCAATTCAAATTAACATATAAAAAAAAAAAAAATAAGGTAGAAATAAAAAAATGAATTCACAGTGCAAATTCAAAACAATTAAAAATGCCAAAGAAACAGAATTACTGGAGAGAAAGAAGGAGGTAACTTTTGAGGGACGATTTAAAGAAGGAGTAAGTAGTAGCAATTGTGGATATCTAAGGGAAGAGAGTTAAAGAAAGAGAGGGTATTAAAGCTAAATGAAAGTTTGAAAAGTTCGAAGTGGGGTCTGGGGATATATAAGTCCCCTTTAGTGATCTGTCGAGTGTTCATTCGGCTGTTTGCAGTTAGTTATGTGAGACACTGACAAATTGTTTGGGGAGCAAGATTGTGAAGAGCTTTAAAGGTTAAACAGCCAAGTTGATATCGATATCTGTCATGAAAAGGAAGGGTCTTAGCACAAGAGAAGTGGAAAGAAGTTAAATGAGTAGTAGGAAGTAGATTAAGTAGGATGCGTATATCTTTGTTTTGAATTTTTTGAAGTTTAACGGCAGTAGTTGGTTTGGAACCCCAGACAGAGCAGCAGTAGTCAAGTTTAGATAGAAACAACGAATTGTATAAGAGGTGGAGAGAAGAATTATTAGTGAATTTAGAGGTGCGCGCAAGTAAGAAGGTGATGGAGTTGAGTTTGTGAGAGGTTACAGATTGGATAGGAGTGTCATCTAGAAGAAGGTTGATTGAATGATTAATGCCTTTGTGCCAACTATTCATATTTATATAACGCCTTTCTTTGGCGGATTTAGGATTTAGCAATGGGGGGGGGGGTGGAAAATGTTTTGGTAATTAATATAGGGCACACGCGTGTGTTTGGAACTAAATATAAGCATTTTCATCGTGGTTTTATTTATTACAATTCATAGGCCTATTCTTTCACCATCATTACACATTGAGGCCCTTCTTTTAGGTAAAACGATCTATCTTAAATTTTCTTTCTCAAGTTTTGGGACTATTATGTTTTTAAATAACTTAGAAGGCAAAGGAGGGCAAGCACAAGCTTTAACCTTAACAAATGCGCGCGAAGCGTGCGAAAAATTTTTGTGTTTTTAATTCTAATTTCGTCGGAATTTATAAAAACTCCCTAATTGTGCAATTTTTAGAGGAAATTGGCCTACCACAACAAGAAATGGCCACACTCGTTTTTTTTTTAACTGAATATAAGCATTTTCCGTATGGCTTTATTTATTACAAACATATTCTTTCAACATTATTACACATTGAGGCCCATTTTTAATAGGTAAAACGATCTATCTTAAATTTTCTTTCTTGAGTTTGGGACTATGTGTTATAACTTAGAAGGCAAAGGGGAGCAAGCACAAGCTTTAAAATGAAAAATGCGCGCGAAGCGCACAAAAAAGTTTTTATTTTTAAATTCTAATTTCGTCGGAATTGATCAAAACTCCCTAAAATGTTCAATTTTTAGAGGAAATTGGCCTACCTCAACAAAATATGCGATTTAAAATTTGAGATTTTCAGGCACTTTTCCGGGTGAAAAGGGCATTCAATGGGGAAAGACTTTTCACAGATGGATATTTTCCCCTTGTCCCCCGGTGATTACGCCACTGCGGAGAATACCCTATGGAAACTTTTTGAAGTGCAGGCAGGGGTATTGTGACATCTGTTCATTATATCTTCCTTTTTATTCTTGTCTTTATTTTTCTCTTCTCTTTTCCTTTTTCCTTTCTCTTTCCCCTTCTTTCTCTATCCCTCCCTCTCCCCTCTTTCTTTTCTCTTCTTACCCAGCCCGGTACGACGGCT